CCAAGATATATTTTAGATTTAGATTCAGAGCTAGCGTAGAGACAAAGAAAAGATAAAAGGTTAGAAAGACATGTAGAAAGAGAGGCTCAGAGAGAGGAAACAAAGGCAAGTGAGAAAGAAAGAAAGACAGGAGAGAGAGAAAGTAGCAGAGAGGAGGGCTGACACTGTATGTTCGTTCTACAGTGACAATTCTACAGTCTAAGTAGCTAATTTGTATTTTGTGTGATGTTCAATTATCTGCATTATTTGCTTATCCACAATGTGGCCAGTTCCAATTAATGAGGATGATTGTGTCTTCTGTGTATTGTTCGTTTATCTCAACCAAGGCAAGCAGTTGGGATGCAATAATCTGCCTCAACATACTTTGGGATATGAAAATTCCTCCTCTGTTTAATATTGAGAGATTCATGCTGGAAAGTGTGAGACTTGGTAGAGGACGAGATCAGATTTGTCTGTGAATCTTTCTTTTCATTTGTAACCCTCTCCCTTCCACAGTAAAGTAATCTCCCAATATTTGCTGTGTGTCAAGTCACAAATTGTTACTTGCACAAGTTGCACAAGGTATTGGCTTGTTGGTTGTCTAATGTTGTTGCTTGTTAAAAAATGAAACAAAGTTTTTTTTAGGAGAGTTAGGGGATATGTCAAAATATAAACAATCTACAAATGAGGTGAATCAGTAACAAAATGTAATTACATTTGGGTATGTAAATGTCATCCTTATTTTATATTTTCCCTTGAAGAAACAGACCTGACCATCACTCAAAATGTATTGCACTGTTATTCAAATTGGGTATGATATTCAAATTGGGTATGAATTGCTAAATCATTTGTAACCAAAGTAGCAAGTTATTTCAACCCTAACTGGGAACCATTTCAAGGCAAGTTGGGGAAATCACATGGGATTGCATGTGAGGAAATGGTAATAGTCTACAAATTTGGTCTAATTTGCAATGAAGTGGATAATTTATCAGAATTCTCCACAAAGTGCAGAAGATAAGATGTAAGCCAGATCTTACAGATGATGGAAGATCTGCACAAAGATGTGGTCTGTGTTCTGCTTCTGCCAGGTTGGTAATAATCCTTGCATTTAATATTGTGCCATATCACAACAATTTGCATTTATATAGCGCCCTTCACACCAGGTAGCATCCCCGAACATTTGGCAGTAGTGGAGTCTGACCCTGAGCCAGGAGGAGAGCGGAGGTGATCGTAAGCACGATTAAAAAAGGAAGATCTTTAGGAGGGATTTGAAAGTGAGGAGAGAATGGGCAACGCAGAGGGATTGAGGGAGGGAGTTCCAGACCTTCGGGGTGCAGTGGCTGAAAGCACAGCCACTGATGGTGGAGCAAAGGGTGCGAGGAATGAACAGGAGGCCAGAGTTAGGCGAGTCGAGGCAGCTGGTGGTGGAGTGGAGGTTAAGCAAATTGGATAGGTAGAGAGATGTGAGGGCATGAAGGGATTTGAAAACAATCATCAAAGTCACGTCATCAAAGCACTTCTTAGGCTGTTGCAATAGGGTTGTGACTGTGCACTTGTGCGCAAACATTGCAGCAAATTTGTGTACAGCATTTCCCACAAATAGCCATGAAGTGAATGCCAATTTTTTTTTGTGTGGGTGGAGGCGGAATTGTTGGCTAGGAGACCAAGAGAAACGGCTTTCTCTTTTCAAACAATGCCATGGAATCTTTAAGAGGAAAGCCTTGGTTTAATGTTTCATCCAAAGGACGTTATCTCCAACAAATCAGCTTCAATTTTTTTTTATTAATTGGAAATGAACTGGCTCACGGGTGACATGTTTTGCAATGGAATGTCAGAATCAAGCCAGCCGTCTGTGGCGGCCTCGGTAGTCTGGTTCCTGAGCCAGGCAGGTCTGCAGTACTCCAGGGTACTGCTGAAGACAGCACAGCCAGCCTGGGTCATCAGCAGGATTTAGAAGGGCAAACTGGGGGCAGGAACTCCTCCCATTCGGCTCCTGTTAACCCTGAAGGTCAAAGCCCTATGGGTAGGATGGTCCTAGCTGGACAAGCAGCAGGAAAGCTTGCCAGACTGTGCTATCTCAATGGCAAGTTATGCAGTTTTAGCTGGCTAGACTCCAGCAGTACCCCCAATGCACATTCTGGTGTCCCCCAGCCTTGGCTCTTGCCAACTTGCACCTGATGCTCTCTGGAATTAGGTAAGCAGGATGCATATCTTCAGGAAGAGAGTGCACATTTCTATTCTAATAAATATCTTGGGAATTTCCATGTCTAGGTGAGATATATGGAACTCTGTTTGGTTTGGATACTCTGGTGAAGGGTTTCTGCATGTATCAGATGGCTGACCAAACAATACCCAACAACCCCCCCCAAAAAAAAACCAAATGAGGCGCTCCCGACAATGAAGTGTTAGTCTAGACTGTGAATCGCAAGTCCTATTTTGGGCCAGAGGCAAGAGTTCTACCAACTGAGCCAAGCTGCCTCCAAATAAATCCAGATGTGTCTAAACCCCAGTAAGATATAGGTGTGTATCAGAGGTTCGCTGTGGTCATTTTTATCTTAAAATAATCAGGATGACCACTAACAACAATTTTTGTAATGTACAAAGCCATGCACCTATGCATCCCAGATTGTTATCCTAGAAGCCATCACTCTATACTTGTCTTTCCAATTACATGAACTTATAATCCTCACATTTGATATAGCACCTTATCACATCTTCAAGATGTCTCAAAGCGCTACACAGAATATACTCTAAAGTAAATTGACTATAGTTTGTGGGCGAAATATGGCAGCCAATTGGGCGCAGCAGTGTCCCATTATCAGTCGTTGATTAAGTAACCAAATTATTAGTATTTATTTTTAATGTTTTCAAGGGATTATTACCCTCAGAAAATGTACATTGCCTAAAGTTTTCTCCCTCCCCCACCACCACTACCAGTAAACAAACCCAGGTCCTCTCATTTGCGAGGCAAGTGCTCTAACCCATCCGGAACAGAAGTCGATTTACGAGAGTGGAACTTACTGCAAAGAATGTTGCAATTTGAAGAAAAGGTGAATACTGAGAACAGGACAGTGAACAGACAAAATCTAACACTGATTAAAAGCAATGTTAACAAAGTGATAAAGGTTAACTTTGTGGAGTGTGAAAAGCAGGTTCTAAAATTAATGGCTTAATTGCTACATTAATTTAGCATAAGAGAGGACAGCCTCACCATTTCTGCCTAAAATGATATCTGAATTCTAGATGGTGCAGAAAGTTAGTGTTATATCTCTACCCCCTCCCCTCCTTCACCTTTGCCCATTCTTAACAGCTTTCAAAATCAATGTCATTTTCACTGCACGGATTCTAGCCATGTTGATAGAACTGCGAGAATCGAAGGGTGTCTGTGAACAAGGCTTAGGGCAACTCAATGTCAATACAGAATCTACCAGTTCTTTATTTGGTCAACTATGTTTTCTGTCAGGTGGGTGGCGGGGGCCTGAGATATTTCACTGTTCATGGTATCATAGGACATTATATTGAAATATGAGTTGCTATAGAAATGTTATCATCCAATTTATGTCCATAAGATCATTAGCTTCCACATCCCACACCTAAAAGCACTTCAGTGCTTCTTTGGTTAAAGCTTAGAAAATAATAAGCAAATTTTTTTAAAAAATAGGTTAAAGATCATTTGGCATGTTACTGTGAGGTGGATCTGATACTACAATGTTTCAGATTAGTTGCAATAGCGTGAAGCTCAAACACATTTTATTTCAAGCATATTTATTGTTATACAACAACAACAAAATTACACTTATAGAGCGCCTTTCACGTCGGGAGGACGTCCCAAAGCGCTGAACTGTCAGGTGTCGGAGCCCGAGCATGGGGGAGGGGTGGTGTAGGGGTGAGGGAAGGGGGAGAGGTGGGAGGGAGACCAAAGGCACGATCAAAGAGAAGGGTCTTGAAACCAGCCTTGAAGGAGGCAAGGGAGGAAGCGAGGCGAAGGGACCGTGGGATGGGGTTCTGGAGTGTGGGGGCAGAGAGGCTGAAAGCCCGGCCACCACTGGTAGGGCAGGTCAGGAGGGAGACATGGAGCAGACCGGCGCCCGATGAACGGAGGGAGCGGGCAGGTTGGTAGGGGGGGTGAGGCAGTGGGGCGGAGTCTGGCAATATTGCGGATGTGTATACATACATACATACATACATACATACATACATACATACATACATGCATGCATGCATGCATGCATGCATGCATGCATGCATGCATACATGCATGCATGCATGCATACATACATACATACATACATACATACATACATACATACATACATACATACATACATACATACATACATACATACATACATACATACATACATACATACATACATACATACATACATACATACATATGCAGTGTGATATTTGGAACAAGTTGAAAGTCAAATAATTTAATAAGTCAAACGTTTATTCCGTTTGAATGTCATGTTGATTGAAAATGAAGAACGAGAAATGTTTCCATTTCAGGAAAAAACATCTTGAAATGGATTGAACGTCGAGTGATTATTTATTTAAACAATTGTCACTTTAAAGTGTGGACAAAACGCCAGTGCAGTTCCCTCATATTGGGCTGATCGATGCTATCTCCCGGAATATAAATGAAGCCTCCTCATCAGTGTTAATTAGTAGTCATTGAAAAGCCATTGTAAACCAGTTTACTGTACTGGCTGTTAGAGCCGCAGTGCAGCTTTATACCTCAATCCTCCAAGAGATCAGATGTGCACCAATTAATTCCTCCCTTTTCCAGGGATGTGGGATTAGGAATTGTGTCAGTCAATTCTGCTATAACAGCACGTGCAGTAGTCATGGTTCGGGACACACAGAGGTTTATTTCGACTGGTGCTGCAGGAGTGTTGCAGCAAAGTGATTGCTCCTGCAAGATGCTGGAATCCAATCTCTTTTAAATAATGTATACTGAACACATCGTGGTCAGAACATCAAGTCATGTTTTCCTCGGTCATGGCAGTTGCGTGGGAGAATGTTGGAATCTGTAGGATACTCTGAATGGAAAAATGTCCCATTATCATTTTATTAAATGCTGTAAGTAGCATTGCAAAGCTTTCTTGTTAACAAATGTTTCTTGTATTTTCTGATTGTATCGTATTAACTGATGCTGATTTTGTAGTTTGTATGGATGTGATTTGATAACTGAAAGGCTACAGCATGAAATGTTTAACAGCTATGAATCACAATTTATTTCAGTATGTGGTGCTTTATCCTTACTCTTCTTCAGAGCTGATTCATTTTTACTATTATCAGCTGTAGTATGTGTGCTAGTTTTACTTTTTATCTACAGGACAGCAAAGAGTGTGCTGTGACATCGTCCTATATCTGACATTTTCAGCAGCTGTTTTCATGCCTCTGCAATGTTTGGGATATTGTAGAAAATGGATTTTGCAGTGTAATTTCTGTAACGTGTTGAGATTTTTATTTCAAACTAACAGGTTAAAACTTGGCTATTCAGAGATTTATTTTCATAATACCACTCTAACGGAAGCTTTTACTTCAATTAATCAGCCCCTTTGTTTCCTACTATAAGCAACGTAATTGTAGCACTGAAATCTACTGACTGCAGTAAAAATAGATTTATGTTCCACTACACTGGGAAGCATACCAGAGACTAGCTCAAGAGGGAGTATCTAAACTGAATTAAGCCAACTTTATCGCTGGGGCTTGTAGTCATTGTGCTGTATTTTATATTTTGATAGTTTACATTCATTTGAAATTGTAGCAAGAAATATAATGTGACAAGTTGGTGTTCTGAAATAAGCACTGAAGGACATGTGCTGAATTAATGTGAAATTCGTACAGCAAGTCTAAGGTGTGCTTTATATAAACCTCCAAGTTAACCATTTGAGCAGGACAAAGTTTGAAGAATCCTCTTGTGAAATCCTCTTTTTTTAAAAAAAAATGAGTAGAAATGTGTACCCAGCAATTATTTTTGGGAAGAAACTATTTCCTTGAGAAGAGCTGTTTGATGTTGACACAAAGAGACAGACCCACAAATTACTGTACACAGTGTCATTATCTGCACTTGGCCATAGTGTTGCATCGGTTACACTGAGTATTGTGTTTTGCACTGCAGATGCATAAACTATCGTAAGGGGCTGTTATAAGAGCAATAGATGAACAGCTTCTAATAAGTAAGTACTTTCTTCATAGACCGGAATTGACGGTACGCATTGTTTATTAGTCTAGTCACATCTAAGGGCTCTTGAAGACCCGCATCTATAAGTGGTTTGTTTAAGTGGATGGTATCTGGAACATGCTTAGAATTTCTGTTAGGATTAGACATGGGGAACTGGTTTCAGGGATGTTGGAACAGCTTGAGGTTCAACATCCCCTAATCTTTCAAGGTAAAGTGTCACGTTAGAGGGAGAATTCCAGTTACCAAAACTTAATCTGATGTACTTTTACTCAAAGCACTAAAATAGGAAATGCACAAGGTAAAGGGAAAACATCCATGTGGATTAAATTTTGTCACTTTAATGGGTTTTCTTCATTTCAGTAACTGCCTTTAACTGTTTATAGTAGAGATAAATGGAACAAGATAATAATAATAATCCTTGCATTGATGCAACACCTTCCATGTCAAGAGGATGTCTCAAAGTACTTGATAGGATTTATTGTGCTGTGTAGTGACTGTATTTTGTGGGGAAATGTAAAAGCTTATGTGCAGGTTTGAGCAATGAAAATTGTTACAGAATTGTTAACATGCACCTTCAACAGCTGAAAAACTAGCATATCCTCTAATGATAATTAGACATCGAATAAAATAAAATTGCACAATAAACATTTGGCTGCTCTATATGATTTGAAGGAATTTATTATAAAATACACAATTTTTTAAAGCTGAGGTTGCCCTATTTTTCTTCAGTAGAGGTCTATTTGTTAACAGAAGGCAGATTATTAACAGACGGCATATCATCATTTCACCAGTGTGTGATGATACCGTTACTTCCCTGAAATGCCTGATATATTGTCTCTCTGTTAACCTTAAAATTGCACTTAGGATTGTAAAATGGCTTTTCTTTGCACTTTCGCTCAGTCACCTGTGGGGTACCCCAAGGATCCATCCTTGGCACCCTTCTCTTCCTCATCTATGTGCTCTCTCTCGGTGATGTCATCCACAGACACACGGTTAACTTCCACATGTGTGCGGATGACACTCAACTCTACTTTTCCACCTCCAGCTGCAACCCCCAGTCCCCTGATGTTCTGTCAGCTTTTCTTTGGCTACCGCCGACGTCTTCTGTCCCATGGTTCCGACCTCCTTACCCTCCCCAACCTGTCCTTAAAACTCTCTGAACCCATGCGCAACTTAAGCATCAGGTTTGATCCCCAGTTATCCTTCTTCCCCCATATCTGATCCCTGGCCAGCACCGCTTTCTTCCACCTCCACCACGTTGCCCGTCTCTGACAATACCTCACCCCAAAAGCTGCCGAAACCCTTGTCCATGCCTTTGTCACCTCTCGGCTGGACTACCCTAATGCCCTCCTCGCCGGTCTCCCCTCCTTAACTATTCACAAAATTCAGCGCATTCAAAACTCCGCTGCCTGCATTCTCATTCGCACCAAACTCCGCACCCCAATTACTCAGTCCTTGCCAATCTCCACTGGCTCTCTGTCACAGAGTGGATCAACTTCAAGATCCGGACTCTTGTGTTTAAATCCCTCCATTCCTTGGCAACCCCCTATCTCTCTAACCTCCGCTCTCCCCACAGCAGTACCTGCGGCCTCCGCTCTACTGGGTCCGGCCTCCTTTGTGTCCCCCGAATCCTCCGCTCCACCATCAGCAGCCATGCCTTCAGCCACTAGGCCCCGAAACTTTGGAATTCCTTCTGTCAACCCTTCACCTCACTCCCTCCTTCCCCATCTTCAGGTTGCGTCTGAAGACCTTCCTTTTCAACTGCGACTGTAGTCACCTTCCCCCTCCCCCTGGCTCGGCCTCAGGTTCTGCCATTGTTAAGCACTCTGAGATGCCACCTGGCATAGAGGGCGCTATATAAGTGCAAGTTGTTGTTAAAGCTAAAGAATTAGAGATGTTTCATATTAACAGGCTCTATTTGGATCGTGGTAGCGACGTAACACCAGCTACCCCTGACTCTAAGCAAGTATTGTCATTTCTATTCCAAGGTTCTGAGGGCTGTTAAGGCCAAATGTGGCCCTGCAGAACTCTGACTGTCAGTGCTGTGAATAACGGGCAGAATCCACAATGTGTTAATAACTGTATGTGGACGAAGGTGCAATTTCTGCTTGCAGTCCTTCCGTGCATCAGTGTCTTGTATGGGAGGTTTAGAGCTTATTTGCATCAGAGGTTGTTGGAGTGAATCTTTATAATCTTGTTTTTGGGGGTGGGTGAAGACTGCTCTTGGTCTTCAGTAATGAATGCCTCTAAAACCTGTTTGCAATATAAACGCAACACTATCAACTTTATCTATCAACAGCTATCTCTCTGTTCCCATCTCATTGCCAGTTCCTAACCCTCTCTTGATTCCTAAATAAATACTTGGGGATGAAAAATGTGATGTGATAATCATCACATTGCTGAAAATTGTACCTAAAACAGTCTGAATTGGTTGTGAACATTTCTCTCATCCTCCCCCCACTCATCACCACCATCCCTCCCTTGCTCAATTTTGGCAGAAATGGTTTGGTGCGAAGTTTCTGACCTCTGGTGTCTGGGGGAAAAGAATACTTTAAAGGAAGCTAAAAGCCTCCATATTTCCAGCTGCAGATTGCTGAATATAAAAGAACTTGAACAGATTCCTCCTTAAAAGAAAGCTGGGTGCTTTACTGGGTAAACATCTGCTCTTTCAGCTTCAGGACTGGCGGTTGAAACCACCCAAATTGAAGGAATGAAAAATCCCTTCTGTCTGCCAACTTAGAGAGTTTTACACAAAATGTATTTTGGCAGTCAGCCCCTTGTTTGAGTCCACAGCACAGAGAAGCATATTGTTCAGCACTAATGGACTTTACACTTGCAATCTCACTCACTCACATGGATAGCTGGTGTGGGGAAATGAAATGTCACACTAGTACATTATAATGTGATTATCTGTGGTTAAGATTAAAGCAAATAGTTGGGGCAGAGCAGGTACAGATTTGCTCTCCAATCTACCGTGTGTTATACCTGACCTGAGAGGTTGGGTTGGGCTCGGTGTACAAAATGTTCCACCAACCTAGAACTAGACGGACCTTGTTTTTTTTGTCTAGCATTCTTATGTTCTTATGTAACTTGCATTTATGTCCCTCACCTTGATCAGCTCAAAAATACTGTACTAATACAGTAACGGGAACTTCTGTAATAGGACTGTGAAAAATACTGTACCACAAGCACTTTGTGACATCCTACTGATGTGACAGGAGCTATCTATATAAATGTTAAAATGTCGTACCGTAAAGTTTGTAAAACAAACCCTTATAAATTATTTCAGAATAGTTCAACTGCCACTTGGATCAAACTATCTGAAACTCCAGAGTTTGCTGCAAGATGCTTCGGACCCAACTATTTTCCCAGAGTTGTAGGAAGGGAATGGGAAGTTGAATGGGAAAAGTGAGCAGAAACTCTACCCATTTGATAATATACCAGTGGTGATCATCCACTCAAATGTGGCAGTTTTTACCTCACCAGAATATTAGATTTAGAGTATATATTGCTCATTAATTTCCTGGCTGTTTGTGGCACATTCCTATGCGCAAATAGGCTGCCTCGTTCACCCACAAAACACACAGTCACTGCACTTTGCAGTATGAAACACTTTGATACTTGGAAGGTGCTATACCAAATGTAAAGATTATTATTATTTTGTGATTTAATAAACTTCTTGTCAGAAGAAGGACTACAGGAATCATTATCAATCATGCTTTTCACTCAGGACTACAATAGCATTTTCCAAAAGAGCACTTGAATTTGCTGAATTATTAACATATTTCTGAATAAATGTGTTTCCATGATCAGTGCAGTATGAAAATTGCTACCATATTAAACCTCCCAGGACTGTGACCTGAAGATGGGGAAGGAGTGGATGAGGTACAGC